TGTCGGATAGGATGAATCGTTGGCTGGCGACCTATGCTCGACTGTTGGAGCGGGAATCCGGAAAAACCTCGTGCCTATGCCCCGCAGACCGTCTGGCGATGGAGGCGCTCCAGGCAATAAGCAGCTCGCTTGTGGAAGAGCCGCACCCGGACGTCCCCTGGTACGGTCCGTATGGGAAACGGACACGAACAACGCCGCCCGAAACTCCGGACAAGCGACACTGCCGCCCGCGTGACCCGCGGCGACAGAACCGACACGCCACCACTGCAACTCACCCCAGCGTCGAGAGGCATCGCATCAACGCCCGTGCCACCACAAACGCAGCGGGCAACGGCGCGACGCATCAATACTTCTACCCCACAATCGACGGATATGAACACGCCATCTGAAAAAGGGTATGGTAACGAGGCTATTTCAGAAAGCTCAACTACGAGACTCGCCCACCCGTCGACGAAGCAAACGACATCGACATCGGCATCGACATCGACGGCGATTCCGGCACCCATGCCAGACGCAGACCCACAGCTCACAAAAGAACGCAGGTATCCGCCTATAGTAGTCGAGAAGATGCCCGACTGGACCAGCTATTTTAAGGCCCTGCATGAGCAGTTGGGGCACCCTCCGAACGCCAGGCCCTTTGGAATGGGGGTACGTTTTTCCCCCGTGGATGGAGGGGAGTACCGACTCGTACAAGCGTACTTGTCTAATTTAGACAAAGTACGAGCCGGTGTGAGTTGGTACTCCTATGCCCTCCCGGAGGAGAGGAGCGTCAAGGTAGCTATTAGAGGCCTGCCTTTCCACACAGAGCCGACACAGATCCAGGAAGCCCTAGCCTCTAAAGGTTTCACCGTCGAGTATGCGAAACGTATCCGGGCACGAGCAGGGCGACCCGGATGCATTTTCTTCGCCACCTTACAGCCGACCCCAGGTACTATACCAAATATCTATAGTGTCACGGAGCTACTTAGCATGCCGGGCGTCAAGATAGAGGCTTGGAGAGGCAAAAGAGGATTGACGCAGTGCCACAGGTATCAGGGCTTTCGGCACTCCTCGAAAGGATGCCACCGGCCCTTGGCCTGCGTCCGTTGTGGTGAGCCCCACGCAGCAGTTGACTGCCCCCGCCCACGCATCGACCCGGCTACCTGTGTGAATTGTGGAGGCGCTCATCCAGCGAACCACACGTCCTGCCCAGCTCACAAGAAAGAAGCCCGCAACAAAAAGGCGAGTACGGTGGCCAAGACGGGCCCCGTCGCTGGCTCCATCACAAGAGCGGCTATAACAACAAACGAGGTGAGTGAGACAGCTCCCTCGTCATTGATGGCACCTGCAAATGCACCCAAAACAAGATTACCCTCGACGGCGACGGATAATAAAACTACCCGCTGGAGAAAAAGAAAACGTGGGAAGGGCACCGCCCACTCCGAACACGCCCCCAAGATGGCGGCTACGGACCCAAACCCCGCCCCCACAACAGAACAAACACCCGGAGCGAACACTGAGCCTGCATGGGTTCAACAGTTCGCTAAAATGATGGCAACACAGCTCCAGCAATGCTTCGCTCAGATGACGGCCCAAAATTCCGGACACTGAAGGTGGTACACTGGAATGCGCAGTCGCTCACAGGTAAACGTCGCTTGCTTGCGCACTTTCTGCGCGAGCACGACGTCGACATCGCACTAGTGAGCGAAACTTTGCTCAAACCGGGCACTGACTTTAGTGTTCGTAATTATTTTGTTTATAGGCAAGATGAGTCCACGCCAGAAGGGCGCACCTACACCGGCCCCAATAGTGAAGCTAAAGTCCCGGTACGCTCTCGGGATAGACGTCGAGCTTCAAGGTACTGTAACACGATTTTACGCAGCATACAGGCCACCCAACCAGCTCTTTGACGTCAAGGAGCTCCGTGATCTATTGCAACCGCATCCCACCATCATAGCCGGAGACCTAAATGCAAAGTATACGAGCTGGAATTCCACCACCATAAACACCGCAGGGCAGGTGTTATACGATGACGCTCTTATACACAATTACGCTGTTCTCGGACCGGACGAGCCCACCAGGTACGATACGGACGGAAATGGAGACATCCTCGATGTGGTGGTGTATAGGGGCGTGGACGATACCATCACCCAGGAAGTGATGATGGGCCTTCCTTCCGACCATCGACCAGTTTTGTTAGAAATAAACAAACTACCCTCCAAGGTAAATATTCCCCCCCCCCCCCCCCCTGCCGGCGTATCGACTGGGAAGCTTTCAACTACCATTTGACGCAACACACACCCACACGTCTAATCCACACAGCCAGTGATGTTGATGAAGCAGTAGACGAGCTCGCAGCGCCGCGGTGAGTCGGCGCTAAATTCAGCCGCTCACACTCGCTCTGTAGGTAAAAGCTCCACAGGTTTACCGCACAGAGTGATGATACTTATTGAGGAAAAACGCCGACTCAGACGTCTATGGCTGCGCACCCGCTGCCCTACTACCAAGACCCAACTCAACCGATGTACGGAAACCGTCAAGCGTGAGTTGGAAAAACACGCCGTTGCCTCATGGGAAAATCATTTGCTTACAGTGGGCGATAGCATGCCCTCTGTTTATCGCCTCTGTAAGCAACTTACCAAAGCTAAGACAGCCGTAAGACCGCTCATCGATAGTAACAACGTACCCAAATACCACGCTAAGGACCGAGCTGAGCTTCTTGCCGACCACCTGGCCCAACAGTTCGTCCCGAACCCAACGACAGACAACGAGCACGTGTTGACTATAGAGTCGCACGTGAATAGTTGTCTGTCATACCAGCCCGCTGCCGAAGACGACCCGATAGTGTTTTCACCTGGACAGATCCGGAGGGAGATTTCTAGGTGTAAGCCGCGGAAAGCCCCGGGCCTGGACAACATCACAAACGCCGCACTTCGACGAATACCACATAAGACCATCGCTGCATTAACACGAATTTACAACGGCGCATGTGACTATGATACACAAGCCAGGTAAAAAACTCATCCTTACCAGCCAGTTACCGACCGATTACTCTGCTATCGACTTTATCAAAAATTTTGGAAAAGTTGATACTTAGGCATCTAGCTCCGCACATAGCTCCACGCTCAGAGCAGTACGGCTTCCGCCAGGGGCATTCTACAACGCTGCAGTTAACCAGGGTGCTACACGATTTGACGACCACACTAAATAGAGGGGAGTATTCTGCTATTGTGCTCTTTGACATGGAAAAGGCGTTCGACAGTGTCCATACCCATACGAGGGCTTGCTGTACAAGCTGTCGACCGCCAACACGCCATCACGCCTCTTAAACACAATAGCTTCCTTCCTACGAAACAGGACTTTTTGCGTGGCCGTGGAAGGCCACCTTTCTACGTTTCGCCCAGTTTGCGCCGGTGTACCGCAAGGCAGTTGCCTCTGTCGCTCTATGCCGCCTACACGGACGACATTCCGGTAGAAAGCGGCGCGAAGCTGGCCTTATACGCCGATGACACCGCCTACTACGCTGCCTCGATGAATTTGAAACATGCGGTAAGGAAAGTTCAACCCACATTAGACGCGCTTACCCCAGGCTGGACAAATGGAGGTTAACTATCAACATCAGCAAAACACAGGCGATGACAATACAAACAACCACCGCCGCTCAAAATTCGAGACACACCCATACCGCGGACAAACAAGGTAACCTACCTAGGCATCACAATCGATTCACGCCTAACGATGCGGCCGCATATTAACAGCCTAATAGCAAAAATTAACACGGCAAGAGCGCTATTACGGCCGATACTGAGAAGCACCTACCACTCAGAATCAAATTAACAATATACAAACTCTACATCCGACCCATTTTTACGTACGCATCGCCTGCGTGGTATGCGCTGGTAGCTGAGAGCATGAAAAAACGCCTCCGTGCCCAACAAAACCTCGCACTACGCGCAATCACAAACGCAGGACGATACGTACGTAACACGACATTAACCAGAGACCTAAAAATTGAAAATATCCACGATTTTATACACAGATTGGCGAGCAGCATGTTCGATCGAGCGGACCGGTCGGAGCACGCGCACCTGCGCGACTTAGCGCCCGCCCAGAGGGCCAATCGCCTAACGTAAATGCTTTAGAAAACGCTAACGCTTACGATTTTATTTTGTTTTTTCTAGCCGCCTGAGGTATTCAAATTCCTCGCGCTCTTTCTTTTTCTTTTGCATTGGTAATAACAATATTAAAAAAAATGAGCGTGCGGTATTCGAAAACCTCAGGCGGCTAGAAATAACAATATAAAATCGTAAGCGTTAGCGTTTCCCAAAGCATTTCCGTTAGGCGATTGGCCCCCAGGACCGCTCTCGCACACACAGCAGCAGCAGAGGGCTGCCAAGGGAGCTCATCCCGGACTCCATGGAAGACTCATCGGGTTCCCGGGTCGAGCCCCCACCACCGGACACAACACCCCGACTTTCACGCATAATGACCCGACTTGACAGTAAAAAAAAAGAAATATATAAGCACAAAAGATGGCAAACAAAAAAAAAATAAAAAAAAACAAAAAAATATATATATATAAAAATGCCCACGACTGACTACAGTGACTGTCCTATCCCCTCCCACCTAAGTCCACCGCTCGCTGGTCGCTCACTGGGCCTCCCTAACGGGTCTCACCCGGTGGGCTTGAACGCGCCGAGGGCGGTGCGTGAAGAGTGGGGGAGGACGGACCCCAAAGACCGTCCCGTCCGTTGACGGGATGCGAAACCCGCCACCATTGAGGCACCCGCCCAGATCAGTTTCCCCGCAGAAGAAGACGTGCGTATAAATAAAATGCGACATTGGAGTTTTGGCTCTCGACGATTTGATCTTTGAAAATTAAATATATTATTATGTTAAAAGCAATTCTACCCATAGAATAATGAGTAGTTATACTATGCCGCTATATTTTTGCTTTTTTGTAAATGCTTATTGAAGCTCCAAACTAGCAGTCTTTAGTGTAGATAAAAAAAAATTTCCCAGATCAGTTTCCCCGCAGAAGAAGACGTGCGTATAAAAAAAATGCGACATTGGAGTTTTGGCTCTCGACGATTTGATCTTTGCAAATTAAATATATTATTATGTTAAAAGCAATTCTATCCATAGAATAATGAGTAGTTATACTATGCCGCTATATTTTTGCTTTTTTGTAAATGCTTATTGAAGCTCCAAACTAGCAGTCTTTAGTGTAGATAAAAAAAAAAATCAGAAATCAGAAATCTGAAATCAATATATCTATCTTTATTCAAATTGGATGTTATAGTACAACTCTTTGGATCGTCCAAAATCTTTTTTCCCTACCACTCGTTTTTAGCTGCGGAGAAAAACAAGCGAAAAAAACTCCACAAAAGTCTAATGTAACAATATTTACAAATCATTTTGTTGTTACAACGTCAATACAATTATGATTTATTTAATATAGAAAATCTGTTGGAATGATTATATCTTATGTATGAAAATCATTTCTTTAGTGAAAAAAGTCATGGAGGAATCCTTCTAGAACGTTTGTATGGAAAATACCTTGCCCGCCTAACATAGACCTCTCTTATGCCAAAAATTACCAATGACCGCTTTTTGCTTTCACAATCATACTTAAAAACCAACCAGGATTAGAGCACGCTAAATCACTTACAGAGGGTTACTCGAAAAAAACAGACTGTTGAGTTAATATAACGTAGCAGGCCGAATATCCGTGCTATCGTAAGAGCCTTAACTGGACACTGCAAACTCAACAGACACCAATTTCATATGAAATTGAGTGACACTGATGTTTGCAGATACTGCAATCAGGAGCGTGAAATATCAAAACATCTCCTTCTATGCGAATGTGGGCCTCTCTCTCATTCACAAACGTAGATTTCATTTGGGACGACATATAATACCTAGCCTGGGCAGTCTATTCCTGTCTCGAGTTTGCCTTCAAAATGAATCTCAAGGCCGAACAGAAAGCGCATATTTGACCAATGTATTCTGTCAGTTCTCACTTATGGTGCTGAAACCTGGGTTTTCACTAAGGAGATACTACATAAGTTGAGTGTGACCCAGCGGGCACTGGAGAGGAAACTGGTCGGAGTCACATTGAGGGGCAGTAAGACAAATGAATGGCTGAGACAACAGAGCAAGGTCACTCATGTTATCGACCGCGTAACCAGACTGAAATGGGAATGGGCGGGTCATACGGCACGCAAGACAGATTCGTGGACCAAGCGGCTCCTTGAGTGGCGACCTTGGTGTCAAAAACGTCCTCCAGGAAGACCTTAGATGCGTTGGGACGAAGACAATAAAAGAACAGCAGGGAAACATTGGCTTCAAGACGCACAAGATCGTGACGGGTGGCGTAATTTGAAGGAGGCCTACAGCCAAAGGGTTGAGAGAGGCTGAAAGAGAGAGAGAGAGATAATACCCAGAGGAGATCAAATCTCTAAAAGCTAGAAACATTTTAAGTTTCTTGGAAGCTGTCCGGCTAAAAGAGATACTTTAACTTGGTGGCGAGGCACAATAGATCTTATAGGTCGCAGTGACGACAGTCCCATTAGAACTGCATAGCCCCAAAAAATCAAAATAATAAACAGACGTTCTGCTATACAGACCATCTGAGAGTTGGACATCTTGCTAAAGGCTTTCTATTCGTTAGCCGTTTTAGTACTTAGACCTTTTGATCGTGAAGCCACCGAACTAGCTTTCCGCTAGCTTCAAAAATGCCCGCTAGTCGCTTTCTGCTTAACACAGCTCCGTCTTAATTTACATTATTAGAAACAAAACTAGAAATCCGAAAATCACCTAACTAAAAATAACACCCATCGATATCACACTCTGGATGGTGACTCTTAATATGAGACTTCAGACTAGCGTTCTGTATGAAAGCCTGACCGCATATATGGCACCTATACCTTCTATCATTAGTGTGGGTCCTAATATGATATTGCAAAGACTTTAACCTAGGATAAGACTTCTCGCAGTATTCACATCTAAAGTTTCTCTCACCCGTATGCGTTGCCATATGTTCTTTCAACCTGGAGGGTAGATAAAATCTTTGATCGCAATACTTACATTGATGTTTCAACACCTTCTGATGATTCCTCCGCTGGTGTTCCGTCAAAGTCTTCTGTCTATTGTAGACTTTGTCGCACAAATTGCAAGGGTACGTCCTGTTCTGTCCGTGAGCCTCCGTCAAATGTTTGTTCTTCAAAGCGTAAGACATGAAACACTCGTCGCACCTAGGACACCTTATTATAGCTTTCTTCTTATGAATTATATCCACGTGCATGTCTTTATAATGGTTGGATTTGAACACTTTGCCGCACACTTCACACGTATGTCTCTCGTCGTCCTTGTGCCGTTTCAAATGCGCGTCTAAACGAGGTTTCTCCAAGAAACATAAGCCGCACACATCGCATGTGTAATTGCTGAAATGTCCTACCATATGAGTGTTCAATGTGTTGAAGTCTTCAAACACATCGTTGCACATAACACAGACTAGATCGTTCCAAGTGAGTTTGAAGAGGAGCATTTTGTCTGGTGCTTCGAAGAATATCTTTTTCCCGTGCACTTGATCTATGTGTTGTTTGAAAATGTTTATATCCTCGATTTTTGTTGAACACAATCTGCAATCTATTCTTGTGATGTCGATTTTGGGCATTTTTCGATAACCCATCAGGAGTTGAAACGGCTTCGTGTCGTGAGTGACTGTGTGTTCTCGCAAATCTTCAGGCTTGGGATAGTAGTCTTTGCAGTAGAAGCAGTAATAATTGTTTCTGCGATTCTTGAAAGGCACAACGTACGAGTACTGGATGATGGTGAGCAAATTCTCCTCGGACATACAGTCTAAGTCTCTGTCGTAATTAATTTTCTTTTCTACTGGTGGTTTTTTGACTTTGGCAGCTTTTTTGGAAGACCCTGAAACGTTTTTGTGGTGCTGTACAAATTATTTCATTGATAAAGAAATTTTTACTAGAATAAAATCCGGCCGGGTGACATTTCGGGTTACCTACGATGCGAAGAGATGGCGCTACCTTGCAGCCTAAGAAATACTAGATGAAATTGGTGACGGCCATTAATATATAATTGGTTAGTGCATCGGCCCGCATAGCGGAAGGTGCTTTTAGAATCCCGCTTGCTGCCTGGACCGCGATGATTTTTTCTACTAAAATTTCTTCAGTAACAATGAAACAGTTAATAAATGCTAAAAATAAATATAATAAAACTATTTTATTCATATTAAAAGTATCGTTGTAAATGATCCGGTTTTGAACCAAAATCTCTTTTCAACCAGTGATTTTGACCGTTCCCATTGTAGCATTTTAAGCCAGGATTTTCGTTTAAAACCGGTTTTAACAACTACATTCAAAACTAACACATGGATGATCTTGTTCTTGCGAGACGAGACTTTAAACTTAGCTTTTTGAATGTCTTTTGATTTTTCTACAAATCTCTTTTTTATGCCTGTTAAGTGTATTCTATCGAACTGAACTAAAAGACGCACATTTAACATGGACTGGGGAGGTGCCAGTAATAGACTTTAAAATACTTAATCTTTGCTAATGAGCTTGATGGCGTAGGCGAAGCGCTTTCGGCTTACGATTGTGGAGGTTAAGCAACTATCGTAACGGTCGGTCATTGGATGGATGACTGAAAACTTACTATCTCGAACTCCTCTGTGTTTCGGAAGGCACGTTAAGCCATTATACAGACGCATGTATAATAATATGGACATGATAAAGTCCCGTCTGCTGCCTGGATCGATGGAAGATTTTCTAGTAAAATTTTCTATAGATTTAGACATTTTAGAAGGCTTAAGAAATAAAAATTAGTGTGCACGGAGCACACAACTGAAATGAAACTTCTTTTCTTAAATAACCTAAGATTAGGCGGTGCATAGGGGAACGGCAGTGCACGCATCACTCATATATATGTATATATATATATATATATATATACTACATAAAATATCTTTATATATATAATTCTTCTGTGAGTATGTATGTCTCTGAACTTCTCTTAAACGACTGGACCGATTTTGATGAAATTTTTTGTGTGTGTTCAAGGGGATCTGAGAATGGTTTAGATTCACAATTTTGTCCGCTGGACAACCCCTATTTTTTTAGGGCGGTACGAAGTTCGCTGGGTCAACTAGTATATCTATATAAATACATAGATCATAATAAATATTTACATATATAAGTACGAGGGGAGGTCAAAAAGTTCGCGGAATAAGAGGGAAGGAGGTTGAAATTAAACACCAGACTATTTTTCCTTTTCAATATATTCTCCCTTAACCTTAATACATTTTCAGATCTCTCAAATGACTTGTTTATACCATCGAAAAAAAAAGGATTTGTCTTTGGTGTCAAAATAGGCCGAAATTGCGGACTTCACTTCTTCATCGTCGTCAATTTTTTTTTCACGCAGCTCTTTCTTCATTTTTGGAAATAAATAATAGTCACTGGGTGACTAATCTGGACTGTAGGGTAGTAGGTTCAATTCTTCGAAGGCGTATCGGGGAATGGCAGCCGCCGCAACATGGCACGTGTGAACGGGTGCATTGTCTTGCAGAAGGAGCACACCTTTTGACAGCTTTTTTTTGATGGCTTCTCTCAATCTTTCCAGTAAAGAAGCATAGTACTGTCCCGTTATAGGCTCACCACGTTCTTTATAATCGATAAGTAAAATACCTTCTGTATCCCAAAAGACAGTCGCCATGATCTTGCCAGCCGATTATACTTTGAACTTCTTTTCTTCTTATACTGGTTCTTTGTTTCGCCAACATGGTCTTGCAAATTTAATATGGATGAAGAAACACAGCTGAAGCTGTTTCAGGTAAATGATTAATTTTATCTGTCTCATCTTCGGAAAATTCATTCGATGATAAACTGTAATCAACAAGGGATGTATCTGGAGCTATAAATATTTATAGATAGTTTAAATCATGATGGTGATATGGATGATAGCTGGAGCTATAAATATTTATAGAATGTTTTAATGATGATGCTGAAAATCCTTTGAACTGTAATAGAGTTTTAAACGTTTCGTCGGTCTGTTGGAATATTGGGTTTTGGTCGCTTGACAGTTAATTTTGAAATATCGGGATAATTTCACTCTCTTCATATTGCCGGAATCGAATTTGTGAGAACTGATGGAATGTACGCTTCTTCTGGAATAGCTTAGGGGTTAAAAGGAAATAATCCCGTTGCCTTAAATCCGTTAACGATATTTGTATGCGTCTTCGCAAAACTCCTTCGTCCCAGTAATGCTCAAAGGATTTATTAATCGACTTGTCTAGGTGTTGTACTTCGTGCGTTGTGTTGGATGAAGGCAGTAATGGACAATGTTATGTTTCTCCACTTCTTGTATGACATGTGCGATTTAGCACTATCAAAATTCAACAAGCATTTATCAGGGACCTTGTGTCTACCTAGGAGTGGTATGACCTTAACAAATAGATCATGAGTCATGCTCCCTTTTTTTGGCAATTCTGACAAGTGTCCCAGCTGGCAATTTTTCTGAAAGTTCATGATTGTTGCGCTGGCCCTTAAAATCCAGTGGTTCCAGTGGCATTAACAAACACAGCAATCGTCACATTTTTACCGTGCCCGGGCGCTATTAAATGCACTCTTTTGCTTCCTCTTGCTGCTAAAACAATGTTTTTGTATGTCCAAATAGTAAATAGAAACCTTAAGTAATTTGTGTTTTCTTTAATAGATGGCGTTGTATTGCTGTGAATCGCGGTAGGGTTTAATCGCAGCGGATTATATAGGACTTAAATCTTAATGCGTTGTATTAGAATTTCAAACTTTCAAATAGAAACCTGTCGTGTGCGAAGTTTTAGTTTAATTTTCAAAGCACACACTCTTGGCAACCTTGGAGTTTGTCCAGCTCTGATGATGGACGGTATACCTGCATCTTTTCTCGTCCATTTTGTATAGACGTTCAGGGTGACGGAGCATATGTAATTCATCGTAAAGTCCCCGAACTATTTGAAAATTGTGTTGGTCTATCGGCTTGTTGATTTATCAGGCTCTAGCGGGATTCATTATTTGGGGGTTTACTTTAAGAAAATTGAAGGATTTCTTTTGAGAAAAAGACTGAGCCATTTCTCGTCTTTTTTTTTATAGGCGTTCAGGGTGACGGAGCATATCTAATTCATCGTAAAGCCCCCGAACCATTTGAAAATTGTGTTGGACTATCGGCTTGTTAATTTATCGGTCTCTAGCGGGATTCATTATTTGGGGGTTTATTTTAAGAAAATTGAAGGATTTCTTTTGAGAAAAAGTCTGAGCCATTTCTTGTCTTTTTTTTATAGACGTTCAGGGTGATGGAGCATATCTAATTCATCGTAAAGTCCCCGAACCATTTGAAAATTGTGTTGGACTATCGGCTCGTTAATTTATGGGACTCTAGCGGGATTCATTATTTGGGGGCATACTTTTCGAAATGGAAGGATTTCTTTTGAGAAAAAGTCTGAGCCAGTCCGGACCTGCCATTTTCTTGTTGCGATTGAAATTATGTGGGATATCGTGCTATAAGCAAAATTGGAAAGCTTGTTCTCTTATAAACCGCGGAGTAAGAGGCAAACCAAACAATTTCAGCATGTCTCTTTATTCTTTGGCAAAGTTCATTTTCCTGACTTTTATTGAGAGTGGGCTCTTTTCCTAGTACTTTCGAATTAACTCCTGAATTTAAGTGATTTCTTAGAGTTCGCCTGGGAATACGGTATTTTTCAGCTGCGGCGCGCTGAGTTAGGCATTTTGTTTGGACTGCTACAATAGCTGATTTTAAATTTTCTTCATTCCAACATCCCCGCTTCTTCTTTGAGGAAGACATTTGATGATCTAAAATCAAATGATTTTATGTCATAAAAGAAAGTGTACCAGTAGTGCCTCAATGAGTCGCATGTTTATGTAAATATCAAAAGAATAATTTGCTTTCTTTCAAATGTTTCATGCTTTTAAAGGTATTATTTGACATTGTGTTGTTACCTACAATGCGAAGAGAGGGTGCTGTCTAGCAGTTTAAGAAGGGCTAGAGAAAATTCGACATGAGGGTTGTGGTAGCATAATGGTCAGTGCATTCGCTTGGACAGCGAAGTCCCGTCTGCTGCCTGGTCCGTGTGGATTTTTTTTCGTAAAATTTTGCCGGTGGTGATGTCGCTAGTGGTAAACATTATATAGAAATATTTTTGCCACTGGCACAGAAAATTGTGGCACATGCCTGCGTTCAAAACCTACGGTCTAAGTGCAAATTTTTAGGTAATAATTTTGCCAATGTTCAATATTTTCTGTTGCCGAAAAGTAAATAAATGGTTTCGATTACATTTAATTCGTATCGCATCGCATCCTGTGATACTACGATATCGATGCGCGCATCGGATGCGATTTATCTGATATCGATGCGGATCAATTTCAAAAATATCTAAAAACGCCCATCTCTACTGGCAAGATGGCGGTAGTACGCTTCATTCCTATTGGTCTGTTTCATACACATTATGAAGCTTGCGCGAATCCAATCAAGCGATTTAATTGGTTTACTGCGCTTGGGCCTTGCAAAACTGTGGCCCTTGTCGCTCGGTAGTACGTTACATATTGTCGCGTGTGGCGCTCGTAGCGTTTCAGCCTTCGCCGAGTTACCCTCCAGCTTTCATGTTCGTCGGGGAGAGCTGTAACTTTCGTGACGCATTTTAGTTTCAGCTTTGCCATAGGATTGTAGCGACGACATCTATATGCCCCACATATAATCAACATGGGGGAAATAATCACTCGCCTCAAGAGATGGCGCTACCAGCGCTGCGTTCGCAACGTATGGAAGCCTACATCGCGCAAGTGAAATTCGAAAGCTATCTCTCCTTAAATGCAATGCCCGACTAACATCAGTCAGGGGGAAGACCTTCCGCTTTCGCCTTCCATTTACACCCTTTCCGAAAAGAAGTTTCACCTCAAACATATAACATGATAAATAAATTATATATTTACCTGCTTTCTGTTTCTTCGTTTTCGTCTTCTTCGACACAGACCCGTTGCTCTTCGACTTCTTTTTAGTTCTCTTCCTCTTGATCGGTTTGTCGGAATCCGATGACGAAGCGTATGACTCTTCTGCGCTCTCTTCTGAAGGTTTGTGTTCCGTGTCAATGGGCTTTTGGACTAGCTGGTTATCTTTTGATTCTTCTTTCACTGGGGCTGCCATGTCTATAGAAGAATTTCAACAATACAAAATATTAATGCACTGAATAGTTAGTATACAGAAAGTAATCTACATACGGATCGCTTAGGACAAGAGTGTGAGGACGAGGTCCACGCGTCTGCGATTTTTTTGTGCAAAAATTAAGCAATAAAAGGATTTATTATTACTGTTAAGTAGACGGTTGCTTAAATTAAATATTAAATGGTATTTGTCTTTTTTTGATGTGTAACATCTTTCCTCTCGCTTTCCTGCAATTTGTGGGCGTGATTTCGTTCTTTTGTAGTAGGTTTTATTTCTTTTTTTACTAATATAAGGTGAGGTTTCAAATGTTACACATCATACGCGACTACTGTAAGGCTCGCTCGTTTTTTTTAACCTTACACAACTATCATAAAAAAAGTATTTTGAGTTTGTTATTAAATGACTGTAGTCTCTGATTGTTTACATCGAAAAATAACCAGAAACTTCATTTTTATTTTAAAAAGTTTACTTTTGACAATTTATACAATGATAAAAAAAATGTACGACTTTGGTAAGAGGATGAGGCTTAAACATCCAGCAGTTATGTGCTTATAAAATAAATAATATAACTTGAATAAAGATTTTTTGATTGATTGATAAGAGGCCCATATTTACATGAAAGGGGTGTGTATTGGACGGATTTGTTCAGCCAAACCGTTTTTATAACTTTTTAATATTAACACCCTGGCACCTTTTTGACGTGTTTTTAAATTTATATTTTTTATACGTCAGTCTGTATGTCTGTTTGACACTCCTCTTTACTTACTTGTGTCTGCATATGGCTTGTGTGTTTATTTTATAACTCTCATATCTTTATATATATAATTCTTCTGTGAGTGTGTATGTCACTGAACTTCTCTTAAACGACTGGACCGATTTTGATGAAATTTTTTGTGTGTGTTCAAGGGGATCTGAGAATGGTTTAGATTCACAATTTTGTCCGCTGGACAACCCCTATTTTTTTAGGGCGGTCAGCTAGTATTATATAAAACTAGAAAACCAGTGAACCAAATGTTCACCAAAAAAAAAAAAGGTATTTAATTAATTGAGAACTTCGGAGATTTTGTGCGGTTTCGTTTGAAATAGAAATCACGTGATTTCTCGAAAACCGGAAGTGCTACGTTACTCAAATCCGGTTTGTAGTCTTATCAGACTATTCTTAACTTATAACTTAAACATTCTCTTTATCTATCTCTTACGGTTTGGCCGCTGAAACAGCACCACGGACGGACGGACGGACTTGTCTATTAGATAAGAGATATCTTGTAGCTTATCCACTGTGTGTGTTTTCATTTCTCTTCTAAGTATAATAGGATTAATGAAGATCTGCTTACCATGGCTGTCGTCTGGTGGGTAGTCAAGAGACAGACCGTCGTCGTGGTCCATGCCCCCGATGGACTGGTGGTCGCTCAGATCATCTTTGGGTTCCGGCTTCGGCTCAATGTCCAAGGATTTCTTGATTTCTACACAATACATAGAAACATGTACGAAATATGAATTAATAATGTTGCAAGTCCGATTATGGCAACTGAGGAGGTTAGGAACAAAAAGTGTCATTTACAGTTTTTAACTTTTTGAGTAACTTGAGAAAATAAATATTCAAGTTGTTCTAAGCAATTTTTATTATTTTTATTAATTATATTTATGTGTTAATTATTGTATATATTGTATAAAATTTAATGTATTTTAAGGTTATCTGGCTGGTTTTGAAACTTGGAAAAAAAATTACAAAATACATATCAAATGACACCCTTTGTTTCAATAGCTTGTAAATGTCTTTGATTATTTGATTCAATAATTTTGCGAAAGGTCGTCTCTCGAAACTTACTGTCTCAAAATAAACAAACCGAATGGAGCAAAATACGTAAATGTCACTTTTTGTTCCTAACCTCCTCAACTGTTTTCTACTTTGTGAGCAATAAGATCTGGCAATTTGAACTTTAAAAGTTATGCAATAAATGCTATTCTATTCTTGGAGGGAATGAAAATGTTGCAATACAAGGTATTAACATCAGGTAAGGTGGAGTGGAGGTAATTTGCTTTCTGACTTCTGTTCTTCGCCATTTAATTTATATTAAGAATTCATCAGCTAAGGAAGATTGCTGGCACCAACAAAAAGTCTTACGGTCAATGATTCATAATATATAGACAGGTTATACTCCAACATTATTGCATTTTAAAATAGCAAAAGTAATCCTCGCCCCAATTTCCTTTGGCAACAGCTGCCATTAGTGTGCACTAAAGCAGTCTCTTTTACTATCTATAAAGCAGATTATATCTCTCTTTAGCCTTTATGTGTCAACGGTATCAGCAACTGTCAAAATAAGTAATCACTAAATATTTTTACATTAATTTCTTCAAAACTAGTCTAATAGTTTTCGTATATTTTGTGTACTATCTAAAAACACACATGGGGCTTTTTGACTGGTAAACCGTAAAATGTTTGACCTGACTTTACCTCATTAATGGTGCAAACGAATTTAATCAATTTCACCTGCACCATTAATGGTGCAGGGCTATGGTGCATTCGATATAGCAGGGCAATGCTGCCAGCTAATTAATGGCTAACACTAATAAAATTACTTATAATAAAGTGTGGCGGCGACATCTACATATTAGTGATGTAACGAATATTCGCATTCGCATTCGCGAATATTCGCATATTTTTGAATATTCGCATTCACATTCGCATTCGCAAAATCTCTGCGAATGGTTTGCGAATATGAATATTAGAAAAAAACAATTTGAGAAGTTGTAGTTCTGCCTTTCCTTGAATATTCATTGTTACACAGTTTGCATTTAGCTCGTTCAGCATCGCAAAGTGTGAAATAAGTCCATGTTTCACTAGAATTCGATTTACTCATGTTAATAAATCACTATTACCACTCACAATCACTAACCTCAAAATTCACTTGTTTTGATTAGGGAAAGACCGGTGCGAGCGGAATGACTCTTTAGTTGGACGAGTTCATATCAACTCGGCAATTCGAACGAGACTCCCACCACGCCATAGATAATTGGCGCCAATTTAAAAAAAAATCGCATTCGCGAATGTCGGTACCAGACATTCGCGTTCAAAAAATGACATTCATTACATCATTACTACATATACAGATATTGCAATCCACGAAGACGCGCCCCACTATTCCTAATAACCGTTTATAGTAAATTAGCGGTCCGCCCTCGCTTCGCTTCGGTGTAGAGCTGAAGTGTAGACTACAGTTTTTGTTCTCCGGCTTGTATTATACACAATGACATTCATCTATGGTTCTTCTTATACCTGCATGCAAGTCTCAACCCGATCGGTTTAAAATTGACAAAGTTTCATACAAACTTTCATTCCCCTTTTTTATCCCCTTGGGGCTAGAATTGATCAAAATCCTTTCTATGCCTACGTCATAACATCTACCGGCATGCCATATTTCAGCCCGATCCGTCCAGCGGTTTGGGCTGTGCGTTGATAGATCACTATGTCAGTCAGTCAGTCACCTTTGAGTTTTATATATATAGATGTGTGCCAGCTTCCGCCAATATTTGAGTGTTATCGGTACACACTAATTTATCTATGATAATAATAATATGATAATTATCTAATTATCTTTTTTTTCACTAATTATCTTTCAACCAAAAATTGGTAGGGCGCATGTTCGTGGATTGCACTATTTGTAATATAGTCAACATCAAGGAAAGAGTCACTCACCTCCTCAAGAGGTGGCGCTAAAGGCGCTGCTACACAGCGTATGGAAGCCTACATCGCGCAAGAGAAATTCGAAGGCTAACACTCCATATATACAATACCGGACCAACATGAGTCGGGCCGCCAATCCGGGATTGGCTTTCATACATACTCCCTCCCCGAGGAGCGAGTACTACGCGTCGTCATCCGTGGCTTATCGAGGGAGCTCGACACTGAACTAATCTTAGAGGACCTTAACGGCCTCCCCGCGCACTCCGTGAACCGCCTGTTCACTAAGGACAGGCAGCCCTATGACCTCTTCTTGGTCATTCTCGATCTTTCCCCCAAGGGAAAGAAAATCTTCTCAATTAAGGCCATCTGCCACATCTCTAACATACGTGTCGAGCCCCCACGAAAGCGTGGCATTGTCGGACAATGCCACAACTGCCAGCTATACGGACACTCGGCCCGGTTCTGCTTCGCCCGTGCTCGGTGCGTCAAATGCACGCTCGACCACGGGACGAAGGATTGCACAAGGCCGAAGGTCCCAATACCTGAAAACCCGCCCGGCTGTGTCCTCTGCGGCGGCCAGCACACCGCGAACTACCGCGGCTGCCCTAAGGCCCCGCAGAGAGCAAAGACCGGCGCACGCGCGCCCGCGGCCTCCCTCGCCCAGGGAACGATCTCCCTCCGCCCCGCTACAACACTCGCGCCCCCCGCACCCAACGCATGGCGTAAAGTGGCTGCTTCCCAGCCACTGACGCCCTCCCCCACGGTCCCTTACAAGAACCCTCCTCAAGGGCTCTCCAAGCCGCCGACGGTTCAACCCACCACACCCGCCTCCGTAACCGCGACCGCGCGCGCCCCTTCTGTCTCGGGCAACTCGATGGCCCTTAGCCCTGGTGATTCTGACGCAGCTTTTGCGATCAGGATCGCCACCGCTATCGACCCCGTGGAGCTCGAGGCTCTGGGGGCCAAATTCAGGGAAGCTAAGGGTGACATTGTCATGTTCACCCGTATCTTCACCGAATACCGCGCACTAATCACAACAATCCGCGCGCTCACCATCCCCTCCTCTTAATGGCGTCCTCAAGGATCAAACCGCGGTCCCTCAAGTTAGCGTTCTTCAACGCTAACGGTCTCTCCAGTCAGAGTGCGGAAATTGTAAAATTTTTAGTAGATCACGCGATAGATATATTTTTAATACAAGAAACGTTTTTAAAACCGTCCATTCGTGGCCCGCGCATTGCCAACTACAACTTAGTCCGGAACGATAGAGACGGCCGCGGCGGTGGCACTCTCATCTACTACAAGCGGTCTCTCCATTGTTCCCCGCTAGTCCCTCCCACTCTGACTGATTTAGAAGTCTCCGTCTGTCGGCTAGGCATGACCGGGCATCGATCGGTCACGATTGCTTCAGCTTACCTGTCCCCCAACAAAAACCTCACCCAACCAGACCTAGAGGCTCTGTTTGCTATGGACGACGCCGTCATTATTGCCGGCGACCTCAATAGCAAGCATGTGCAGTGGAGTTGCAACACAACCAACCGTAATGGCAGGTTGCTTTCCAACTTCTCTGACACTATGGTGTTTGACATCATAGTGCCCCTCACACACACCCACTTCCCCTCCCAAGCAGGTCACGCCGCCAATCCCCTAGACATGGCCTTACTAAAGAACGTAGCCCTTAGGCTGCGTTCGATAGAAACGGTTCATGAACTCTCCTCCGACCACCGCCCAGTTGTTTTACAATTGGGTTCCTCCCTCTGACCTCCCATCCTCAAGGACAGTGACGAACTGGAGGAGGATCGAGAAACTACTCGAACCCTCCGCCAGCTCGCCACTCAACTCCATCCCCGACCACATAAACTCCACTCAGGACACCCTCTCTGCGATCGGAGCCCTCTCGAGTCATCTCACTTCCGCAATAAGCGAGGCGTCCCGACAGGTTCCAGCGATGCCAGACCATCGCTGCAACCTACCGGACGACGCTAGAGAGCTGATAAGGGCAAAGAACGCCGCCACTAGGGCATTCGACACCTACCCCACGGACGACAACCGCTCCCGATTGCGTGCCTTGCAGCGTGCTGTTAAGGCGCGCATGAAGGAAATGCGGGAATCTAAGTGGGATGAACTGCTTGAAGAGATCTCGCCATCACACCAAGCTTATTGGAAGCTGGCGAGATCCTTCAAGTCAGAGATCCTCTATGCCTCCCCTGACCAAACCTGACCGATCGATCGCGTTTAACGACGACGAAAAGGCCGAGTGCCTGGCCGACAGCCTGGAGGCGCAGTGCTCGCCTAGCACCCTCCCAGTCCCCCTCGAACACGTACAGTTAGTCGACTCGGAAGTCGAAAAGTCCTCCTCCGTACCGCCCACCGCCACACTTGAGCCGGTCACAGTAGACGAGGTGCATTCGTTAATCCGTAAACTACGCCCGCGTAGCGCCCCCGGTTCAGACGGAATCTCTAGTAAGGTCCTTAAGATCTTACCAGCCCAACTCCTTTGCCTTATCACTGCTATCTTTAACGCGGCTATGTCAAACGCGATATTTCCCTCAGAGTGGAAAGAGGCCGTCGTTATCGGGATCCGGAAACCCGGTAAGGACGGCGCCTTACCCTCTAGCTACCGCCCTATTAGTCTCCTCAAAACACTGGGGAAACTCTACGAACGAGCCCTCGCTAGCCGCCTTAAAGATTTTCTCTTCACAAACAACCTCATTATGAACGAACAGTTTGGCTTCCGTCCCAAACACTCGTGTGTCCACCAGGTGCACCGCCTAACGGAGCACATCCTCTATTACCGCGATCTATATCGAGCCTCCGCGATTCCCACAGGTGCGCTTTTCTTCGACGTGGCGAAAGCATTTGACAAAGTCTGGCACAATGGCTTAATTTATAAGCTATACAAACTCGGTGTGCCGGATAGACTCGTGCTCATCATACGGGACTTTTTGTCGAATCGCTCGTTTCGCTATCGCGTCGAAGGAACGCTCTCCTCGTCTCGTCCAATACGCGCCGGAGTCCCTCAGGGCTCGCCACTCTCGCCTATCCTCTACTCGGTCTTTACGAACGACATGCCCAAGACTCCTAAGGTCGATCTCGCGCTTTTCGCCGACGACACCGCCCTCTATACCTCCGATAGACGTCTCGGAACAGTCTGTAATAGACTTCAATCAGCCGCTACCACCCTTGGCGATTGGTTCCGTAGATGGCGTATCGAGGTTAATCCGGAAAAAAGCGTCGCGATCCTCTTTAGCACGACACCACCTCCCACGCGATCTCTTCCGAGCATCCAACTGTTTGACCGGGTCCTACCCTGGGAGGACCGGGTCAAGTACTTGGGTGTTACGTTAGACAACCGATTAACGTTTGCACCTCATCTCAAGATAATTCGCGATCGCGCAGCATTCATTCGCGGCAGGCTATTCCACCTTATAGGGAAGCGTAGTAAGTTGTCACTTAGACATAAGTTGACAATTTACAAAACTTGCATCCGCCCTATAATGACCTACGCGAGTGTTTGCTTCGCCCACGTACCCCCGTCGCGTCTTAAACCACTCCAAACGCTGCAAAATCGTGTGTTGCGCGGTGTCACGGGTTGCCCGTGGTACGTGCGCAACATCGATTTGCATCGCGACCTCAAATTAGACTCCATCGCGAAGTATATGAAGGATGCCTCGAGGCGTTACTTCGATAAAGCCGCGCATCACCCGAACCCCTTAGTAATAAAAGCGAGTAGTTATCATACGTCCGCCCTCCCGTCCTCCAATCGTAGGTCCCTCCGATTCCGTCGGCCTAGGCACGTCTTAGACTACCTAGATGACGAAATCACACGCGCCAACGCGCCTCCGACTCCTCCCACACAGGCCACAAACACCAACACTACACAGCTAGCAAACGTGCACACTAGCTTAGCATTAGGCAGACACCGCACCCGTAGGATAAGAGTGCGAAGACCCGGTCTACACACGACACGCTATACCAGGTACAGGTACGTACCTGGGCGTTTTTCCCCGCCCCCCACGACAACGGCTTACTAGAGCCGAATTACATAAGAATTATGGAGTACCTTCTTCGGGATCTTTGTCAGACAGCTTGGCGTGTAGGAACAGTTCTTCGCACTGCAGCACCTGCTGTCGGAAGGCGCATGCGTCTCGTAAGCGTACCACGCACGTGGCGCAAACACCGCTGTCCCGCTCATTGTCGTCCACATGCGATAACTGTCGACGAACATTCAATAATTAATAATAATAATGAATCAACGATCTCCGTGGCCGAGTGGTTTGTCCGCCGGGTTTCATGGTGTCGCCGACTCGAGAGGTCCCGGGTTCGAATCCCGGTGGGGGCAGATGTTTGTGTGATGAATATGAGCATTTGTACTCCAGTCATAGATAATATGTATTTCTATATAAATAGACTTATATATGTATAGTACCGGGTTCTAGTATCCCATAACACAAGCCTTACAGTGCTTACTTTGGAGCTAGGCTAATTGGTGTGAGTGTTGGAACTATTTATATATTTTTATTTATATTTTTTATATTATATTTTTTTATATTGACTGTCAATCTACAATGCAGTTAAATAGTTACAAACTGGAAGATGCAGGTTCGAATCCCATCTGAAGCCTGGATCAAGTAAAGTTTTCTTTAGATTTATAAATATAAATGTCTCAAAGTATTTCAATTTACTCTTAAAATATGCTTAATTTATTTTGATTTTCAAGACTAATAAATAAACGTATTCACTGAAAAAATACTATTTGTTTTTGTAATATGCAATTTATTAGAATTGAACATTTGAAGAATAATTTTTAACAGCCAGTTTCCATAATCAAACTCCAGTATGAGGCTACTAGATATTTGGTGTATAAATATTTTTATTATTTAGAATAAAATAACAAGCGTTGCTAAGAAAACAACAGAATCCAATTATTCTTACCTTTTGCTGGAGATTGACTAAAGAAATTGGTCAAAAATAAACAACGAAATATTATAATTGACATGCTCAAAATAAATTGCTTTGAAAATACTGGTGCGTGTATTCTGATCAGTATATAAACTTATAAAGGACATGGCTAAGAAACTGCCCTTAACGTGTATAAATATTTCGCACTAGCCCATAACTTTACAATTTTTTTTATTAATTATTACGTGTTTATTATTCTCATACAACTTTCATGAAATAATCAAATATTAAAAAGTATAAAAATTGCTTCTGTTTCAAAAGCAAAATGTTCCGTTTTACAAAATAAATAAACAATAAATGTACACAAAAAAAATCTGTATAAGTATATCGAAATAAACAATATTATTTCTAAACTCCTTCAAAATATGACATATTTGGCCCTAATTTTTGTTACAACAAATCACGGAAGGCCTAAAATAATAGATTTTATTATTCTGATTAGGCTTGAGACCAGGCTGTATGATAATTAATCCTTTAATTTTTGCAAATGGACATAATAAATCTTCACAGATTTCCTGTCAGGTGGACGACAACAAATTACTTCTATTTATTTTTGCTTTAAAAAAACTTTTTGTGAAGAGTTAATCAGAGAAATGGGAAGAAAGGTTCTGAGAAAATGCGAAATTGATCACTGTAAATAAATGGCAACATCTTTTATCAACTTTAGTAACCCAATGATATAGTAGTTCTCATAATTTTCAAGATTGTGACTTTATCCAAAGTTCCTGAGTCTTTTTTCATAGAAATTATAAATACTTAGGCATTTACCATTAACTATTACTAAGTACAGTATTTATACATTGCCAGGGCAGTCGCTCATACAAAACTTTACCATGTCCTTTATATGTTTAGAAACTAATAGTTAAATAGTTACCCTACATTACACCTACTACAAAGTATCAAGGAAATAAGAAAAGGTGGATGTTCAAACTCACCAAAATACCGAAACAGTCCATCACCATGTCCGCGTAAACTTCTTTCTTTTCCATCCAAGTGTACTCAGCAGTGAGAATCCTACATTTCTTTATAGCCCTACAGCACCGACACAAAGCAGGGTCTATCAAAGGCCCATTATTTTTTGGAGTGCTCATTTTCTTCGAATTCAGGCCGAATAGGTACAATATCCTTTAGCGTTCACATCAAACAAAGAGTTCTGAACTTATTTCAATTCACCGAAATTTTAGGATGTGGCCCAAGCACAAAAATAAATAGATTTCTGCCTCTTCTAAGCCGAAATCCGACGAAAGCTTCCCCAACACGCCAACGCCAACCAAAATGTCAATAAAAAACTAAAATGTCAATTGCGTTTTGTTCTATCTTATTAAATCGGTAACATTTACGACTAACCATCATAATCGGTTTATTATGTATAATTTCAATCACTATTGATGGAAAATGTTGCTATATCAAATAAATCTCCTTTGAGTACGGCAAATGTATGGATTTAAAAACTAATAAAAAATATTTAAAGTAATTTAACTTTGTATACAAAATTAAATGCGCAAATACATACTTATTTTGAAACACAATTGACTTAGTATAGTATTAAATTCAGATAAATTTAATACACTAAATTATAAAAAAATAAATATTTAATCTTCGTTCTTTAGTTATCACTTAATAACGGTTTTAGTAATCTTTCAGCAATAATAAGGTTAGTATTTTTTTGACAACTTCTGTACTAAGATACTTATATTTTAAATATATTATTCTATGGTTAGGTTACCGGAAAACGAGGAGCTAAAAGCGTTGCGGTGGCAACCGGAATTTTGCTAATAAAGCTACAACAGTCTATTCGCGTTGAATTTTTCGTTTGTTACTTGTTTATTTTGTTTTAAAACATTTATGTACGCTTTGCTAAATATAAAAAATGGAATCCTCATCTAAAAGTGATATTTCTACATTTTACGGTCAATGTAGATGTTGCTTAGAATATGGTTATATGAAGAATTTGTGGACTGAACATAATTCTGAAGGCATACGCGAAGTGTTTGGAGAAATGTTGTTGGAAACATTTTCTATTAACGTGAGTACAGTCAGCCTGAAAAGATATTTTGAAGTCAAAACCATCAGGAGGAGACAATAATTTAAAATTATTGAAAACTCATTTTAACCTCTTTTCAGCATAATAAAAATAGTTTTGCTATGGAATTCAATGAAGTAAATTATACTACATTCTTATTGATTTATTAGAAGCTCTTGAATAGTTTCATAGCTTTTTCTAGTCACATGTCTACACTTATTGAAGTATTGTAAACTCATCCAACCATTCGCTTTTCCCGTTGATTATATGTCTATAGTGTATCCCTGCATTTTCTGCTATCAACCTTTCGTCACGATATCTAGTTAAGGGGACCTTTGAGTTTAGCACCAACATTTGTTTTGTATTTGTACTCTTCCATTATACAATTTTTTGTGCGCTTATTAACTAATATAGTTTTGACTCAATAGTTAAATTTATCTTTAGCAGTCTCCCGCGCCTGTTTTGCCCTACACAATCAACAAAATCATGTCAACATCTTCCATAAGAAAAAAGCTTTTAAATGGGAAACAAAATAAAATTTTGAAAGAATATAGCTGGGTCAAAATAAATTTAAAATAAAGTATTCAGGCACCATACCTACCTTAGTAGACTCTAGACAATACTCCTGCACTGGTCACCCAGCGTACATTCTGAGGTCTGCAGTCCCCCAATGAATGCCAGTAGTGCGGGTGTCGTTGTGGCAACAGTTGCCATCTTTCGACTGCCTGTGCACCCGCAAGGTGATAGCTCGTGAATAGATCCACCCAGATGAAGATGCCCCAGAGTATTAAGGGCATCAACATCCAGAGACCTCGTAATGCGGGCCAGCCCCCCCCAGGGCAGACCCGCCGGCTCTCACAGGAGTTGGAGGGAGAGCGTAGTTCTCTCTGTCCCTCTCCGCCCCCCTTGGCCCTAAGAAGAGGAGCGGTACCTTAATAGACTCGCCGGTAGGGCTTCGGACTATTAATCAAACTGGATGGTCTTTTATATAATCTTCAAAGCTTGCCAATGGGTTTTCCTTAGATTTAGAGTTTAGATTGAATGACAGCAAATTTTCTTCCAATCTTATATAAAAGTATAATTGATGTTAAGTTCAATTTAGAATTTTTAAAATCTTAGTGTCCCTACTGTATCTTTGTTAAGGGTTGAGTGTGTGTAAAGTGAAAGTATTGCTTCTTTGTAAGAACAAAGAGGTTATGGCATGGTTCAGTACAAAATTTTCTATGTATAAAAAGAACGCTTATGGGTGGAAAAAACACAAAACAAAAGGAATTTTGAAGATTCCCACCTTTATAAACAAATCTTACGAGCCAGCATGTTGACACTCTGAACTTAAGCCTTATGCTGAAACAAAATCTATACGTAAATAAAAATGGAGACCCAGCTCTTTCAGGAGGAAATTAGCATAGTTCGAATATCAAGCAAAAACATACACCAGAAAAGCATGTTCAGACACATTGCATAATACTTCGCAAAATGTGCTATGGTAAAATTTACATTTAGTTGGAAAGATTAATATCCATTTTTACCAACCTAAACTTTGGTCATTGTTATCATCAGCCTATTAATGTCCCCACTGCTGGTGCACAGGCCTTCCCTGCACTGACCGACCACTGCAAAAGTTGCTTAACTTCAAATCGCAGCTGAACGCGCTAACCACTTGCGCCATCGAGCTCCTCAAACTTTGGTGACTCCTTGTAAAGTGATTTAAGCTTAAGGAACACCTGAAGTAAAGACTTTTGGGCCAAATTGTCCTTCTTGGAGTATAAACTTCACACTATAATTAATTATAGGTTTGGTTAGTGTGTCCAGGAGCTCGATAGCGCAAGTGGTCAGCGCGTTTAGCTGTGATAGTTGAAGCTAAGCAACTTTCGCAGTGGTTGGTCATTGGATGGACCAAAAATTAATAAACTATCTCCCGCAGGCCGCATCTGCGGTCGTTAGCACCCGCCAATCGGCACTGGGCCCGCGCGGTGTATCATGGCCCAATCTCCCTATTCCATCTGTAGGGAAGGCCTGCGCCCCAGCAGTGGGGAAATAAATAGGCACATGATGATGATTAAAAATACTCAGTTAACAGAGACCTTTTCAACAAAAAAACTGTGAACGCCTAGGCCCAACAAGTGAAGTCAATATTATTTGTCTCCAACACTCTGACTGGTTGACTGGTAGAGAATGCCTATGGCATTAAGTCCGCTGTTTGCTTATGTTTGGCAATAAAGTTTAAATAAATAAAAATATAAAAGTCAAGCCATTCCCTCCCTGCCAATCTCTTTTTTGCCTATGGTTTGTCTTAACGTGGTTTTAATACACTGGCCTGCAAAAGTAAATATCACATTTTTTTAATTTAATTTTTGTCTTACTTTACAAGTTAGAGATCTAAAATAAAAACCATTTTATATCAAATTTTATCAGCTATCTTTGAAACTCTAGTACAAAATTAAACTCTTTTTCGAGTCCTTTTTATTTCGAAATATATCTAAATAAATCTTTCAGAAGGAAATTAGCATAGCATAGGTATATAATATCTTGTGTAGTTAAAAGTTATGGCAATATTAAAAGTGTGTTTAGTTTTGCAGGCCCGTGTAGTTTCATATGCCACCATCTTAAAAAGCTGTTATTATATGGCCTGGGGGCCAATCGCCTAACTGGTTTGCTATGGCTATCGCTATCGCTTACGATTTCATTTTGTTAATTCTGACCAACAAAGGATTTCAAATGCCTCGCGCTCATTTTTGTTTTCCTTTGATTTTGTTATAAATAACAATATTAAAGAAAATGAGCGTAAGGTATTTGAATACCTTTAGCGGTCAGAAATAATAAAATGAAATTGTATGTGATAGCGATAGCCATAGTAATCCAGTTAGGCGATTGACGCCCAGGTGTAAACTAGATATTCCTTTTATTGCAATGTCCCCAGCTTGACCCTATAGATTTACCTTGATAATATATACAAGCAGTTGTTGAATAGAAATATTTATTGCCTGGTGCTCTTGCAGTGGGAGACAGTGGATGAATTGAAGGACTATATTTGTGAATCGTGTGTGATCCGCCTCAGGGATGCTTATGAATTCAAAAAGGAGGTGCTCTCATCCCAGCAGCTTATAAGTGAGGGTTCGTACGGTAAGTTAAGTATATCTTCTTATTTAAAAAATTCTCATGTCACAATGTTAGTTACCATACTCCTCCGAAACGGCCTGAATGATTTTTATGAAATTTTATTCCGTGGGTCTGAGAACCGGCTACTATCTATTTTTCATATCCTTAAGTGATAATGGTTGTCCACCTGTAACGTAGTGTTCTGAAACCTGCAATGCGCCTTCGCGCCAAAATTCAAACTATTGGGTATTGTAACGTAGTGTTCTCATATGGGTTAGGAAGGATGAATGTTATCCCAGGAAATTGATAAAACACTACGTTACACACCCCTAAAATTTTTTTGACAATATTTATTTTTTTATAAAGTGGTATTAATAAATACATACAACCCTAAATTTTCTCTTCTACCACCTGCCCCTATTTTTATGGCGGTACGAAGTTCGCTGGGTTTAGCTAGTATATATATAAGCCATCGGCTTTCGACGCCCTGATCGATCCCAATCATCATCATCATCATCGACAGCCTATCTTAGTCCACTGCTGGACATAGGCCTCTCCAAATGCACTCCACTTAGATCGATCTTGGGCTACTCGCATCCAGCTCCTGCCAGCCACCTTGCGCAAATCGTCACATCATCGCGCCTGAGGACGTCCTACACTACGTTTGCATAGACGCGGTCTCCACTCCAGAACTCGTCTACCCCAACGGTTATCGGTTCTTCGACAAATATGGCCAGCCCACTGCCACTTCAACTTGCTAGTCCGGTGGGCTATGACGATAACTCTGGTTCTCTGCCGATTTCTCTGTTCGATCCCAATAACAATTTTAATATGCTTATTCTGAAATAATGTTGTTATAATTTTTTTTTTCATTCCTTGTGCTGTTTCTATAAGTTTCAATATTTTCTATGCAGACTTTGAACAAGACTCCGATTATAAAGTTGAAATGTTGGAAGAGTCAGACGAATTAGAAAATGCAGACGAGTCGGAAGAAGTCTCTATGGAGGAAGAGCAAAACGACATAGAGGTGAAAACTGATTTGAACGACACTGAATACTTTGAAGTGGAGTACTTAGAGGATGATGAGACTGTGGAAGTTAAAGATGGTATGCTACGTGTTCATCCAGTTTGTAAATTTATCTAAAAGGTGTCGTGTGAGGTGGGTCGTTACGTTCCCTAAAATATGTTTGAGCGAAGCGATGGCTGTTTTATTCGTCATGCTCGTGAACGGGTGCTGCCAGCGGAGATTAGTCTGCTCTAACTACTTTGATATTTAAGATGTAAATGTTTGGTTACAACTATTATAAATAACTATTCGTATTTATACTGTATGACACAGCAATCAAAATGCAGGTGAACAATTAATGTATAATTTCACATTATGTAATGAAAGGTGACTTCATGAATCATCTTTGAATTAATTTTTCAAATTGACGACTATAAATAATAAAACAGCCCCTGCTGAGTTTCTTGCCGGTTCTTCTCAGTACAAGGTCTCCCGCCGTGGATTTATGATGGCGTAGCTTCTAGACATTCATATGTGCTTGTAACAGCCTAAACTGAATAAATGATTATGATTGATTGATTGTTAACCCCAGTAATGAGATTGTTAAAAGCTGATTATATGATAACATTTACATTGAATCCTCCACCTTTGATTAGCAAATAACTGTACCTACTGTTCCAGAAACTTTAATACAAACTGATACCAAATCCAACACAGAAACTGACAAACCCAAAACCAAATGGCCGCGGAAGAAGAAACCCAATGAAATCATAAAACAGTACAAGGACTATTCGGAAGAGGATATGAGACAGTGTTTGGAGTTAGTGAGGAGTAACAAGATGAGCATATCAGATGCGAGTAAGCTCTATGGTATACCAAGGAAGACTGTGGCCGGCAAAATTAGCTATGTCCAGAAAAAGAAATTGGGTAAGTTTCTCAAAGTATTGTAGCAATTTTTTATATCCATACTTGTGTATTGATAGGAAAAAATAACGATTTCATAGTAATATAAATTAATTAAAATTTACTTTTTAGTATAATGACTTTTGCGAGAATGTCTAGGAATAGTTCAAATGATATCAAAAATATAGCACAAAGTGTACTATCGAGTTTTCGTGAACTATTTATAGTACTGTTACGTGTCGGGATGGGGTTCGAAATTATAATGCCAGTTCACGACAGTTCTTTATTCAGTTACAGTTCACACAATTAACACACAATGTTAATTACAAAACACTCGCTAAACACTGTATTTCACTATATAAGTCTTTAAACAATCGCACTTGAACACTTTTGTTGTACTTTAATCGCCTTTGGATTCGCTCCGAAATCGCTGTTGAAACTCAACTGTCTCTGCGCGGCGCCAATCGCGCTTATATACGCCGATCGTCGCATTCTAGAAAGTACCTGTCAAATTGAGAATTAGTTAGCACCCGCGAGTACTAAGTACCTACTTATACCTACGTAGGTAACGCGCATAACTTGTAAACAAGTGCAGGTGTCGTTGCACTTTCTTCCTTACTTCGCACTGCACAAGGTTCATTTTAGAATGAGCCGCATTACTCGACCTCTATCGCGACCCGCGGTGATCTGGCAAATTCGATCTCTAGCACTTTCGCGGTTACGTTTCGAGAGCGTTTGTAACAGTACAAAACTACCTTTGTTTTTTAAACTAAAACGTGAAGATGTTTATCAAGAGTGTCGTTCATCTCCGTTATCGATTGGCAATATTATCGAAAGTCTTGCAACGCTTGCGATACCAAAAAGATCACTCCTTCCTACCTTAACCATATCCCCAATCCCATAAATCTTATAATTTAACTCATTGTCAAAAACGTTATACAAATGCAATGTCATTTCATTGTGGTCTTCTGTATGCTGTGACGCTTGTTGACGACCGGTTCTTCGCCGGGTCTAGGCACGGTTTCCACCCGGGCCGGTGCCGGTAAACTTGTTCAAAAGCAAGGATTGTACGTTATCAAACCTCCAAACGGTTTAAACCGACCTGGGTATAAATCTCTGGTTAACAAGCGCCCTTGGAATTTACAACTATACTAGCAAACCAGTGAACCAAATGTTCACCAAAACCTGATTTCTCGAAAACCGGAAGTGCTACGTTACTCAAATCCGGTTTGTAGTCTTATCAGACTATTCTTAACTTATAACTTAAATATTCTCTTTATCTATCTCTTACGGTTTGGCCGCTGAAACAGCACCACAGACAGACGGACGGACTTGTCTAATAGATAAGAGATTTAACCCTAGATACACCACGTGCGATCAAAATGTGTCCCAATCAAGAAGCGCTTGAACTCCACTCAAGCACTTCTTGGTTCACTGTCACGCGCGGACCGTTGAAAAGTCAAGATACCGCAAAGCTCCGTAATAAAATGCGAAAAAATAATACGCATAATACGTAAAGTGTGGTTTTTTCGACAGGTATCTAATCAATGTTTGTTAATTTAACGCATTTGAAGCAAAATTTGTCTAATATTCACTATAAATTGATTAAATAGAAAATATTTTGTGATATTCAAATGCATGGTCGGTTATATAGCCGTCTCCTTTCCTCGCGGTCCGTACCTACTATATTGCTAACAGCGCATTCAGAATTGCACGTAGAGTCAAAAAACAAGGTCTAAATTCTTCCGCATATAGCAATAAGTCGTAAAATTTTACGAGCTTGCATTTCGAACTCTCATAACTCTTTGACGTTGCGTTTTATTTAAGACATTATACAGTATGCATTAAAGGTGATTTTAATTTTTTAAATAATGCCTTTATTGTTTTTGACAACGCGATCATCTTACGGAGCTCCGTGGATCGTCCAATGTACCTTTTGGACAGGTTTCGGCCACAATTTTGTTCGTGTTGTTGTATCTAGGGTATTAAATATCTTTAAGAATTTACTACAATCTAAGTTACCTTTCTTCTACGTTTATAACTCCTAATCCTTAGTAATTCATTGTTAAACTGATTCTACCTATAAATAACGAAAAACTGTTCTCTAACTACCAATATTCTTGCATATTTTACCCTACGCCTAGTGCATATTTTACCCTGATCTACTTTTCTTGAAGGAGATGACTTTCTTACCATGCATTCTCATTTCTATCACATGGTTAAAGACTTCTAAATAAATAAATATTGCAAATTATAATATACTAGCTGTCCCAGCGAACTTCGTACCGCCATAATAAATAAGGGTTGGAGGTAGAAGGGTGAAAATTTAGGTTTGTATGTATTTTTGTATGAATCATAAAAAAATAAAAACAAAAATTTTTGTCCGAAAAAAAAATTTTAAGGGTGGACCACCCTTAACGTTTTGGGGAATGAAAAATAGATGTTGTCCGATTCTCAGACCTACTGAATATGCATATAAAATTTCACGAAAATCGATCGAGCCGTTTCGGAGTAGTTCAATTACGCACACCGTGACACGAGAGTTTTATGTATTAGTTAAATACTAGCAAACCAGTGAACCAAATGTTCACCAAAAAAAAATGTATTTAATTAATTGAGAACTTCGGAGATTTTGTGTGGTTTCGTTTGAAATAGAAATCACGTGATTTCTCGAAAACCGGAAGTGCTACGTTACTCACATCCGGTTTGTAGTCTTATCAGACTATTCTTAACTTATAACTTAAACATTCTCTATATCTATCTCTTACGGTTTGGCCGCTGAAACAGCACCACGGACGGACGGACTTGTCTAATAGATAAGAGATTTTTAAGCATTCAACTGCTAGATGTTTAAATGGAAAGAAAGTTTTACTAGAAAATATTCCACTAGGTCCATGTTTCAGACTGAATTCCGATATTCGGGCGGAGGCACTAACCAATTACGCTACCGAGACCTAAGTGGCCGTGTCGAATCTCCTCTAGTATTTCTTAGACTTGCAAGGCAGCGCCATCTCTTTCACTCGTATAGCGGAAGGTGCAGGTTCGAATCCTATCTGTAACCTGGACCGATAGCAATTTTTTCTAGTAAAACTTTTTTTAGATTTAAATTGTTGGACATTCTTTCACAACATAATCACTTAGCCACAAATAAGCATAGCTTGGACTATGTATGCTAGGCTAAGTTATACTTACTATAAAGGTGATATTTGCTTGAGCACGGACTTCGTGTTTAAAGGCAACACGATACTATTTTGGGTTGATGGACCCAAGAGATTTTGACCCTTAGGAGCCATACAACTTCATACTGCGTTACAATTTATTTGTGATTACTGCTATACTATTACCAATGCAAGTTTATATTTATTCTTGAAATTCGAATATTAAACTTTAATATATTTTTAATTGAAACGAGGTATGCTCGATTAGTATACCATGCCGAACCGATTAATCTTCGTAAAAATATACACCAATTAAGATCAAGTTATGCATTGCTATGCTATATCGAGAAGACCCACCAAAGTTGTTAAATAAATTTGGAAACCGAATCATATTAAAGCCCCATTTTATCTTTATAAGAAAATATAAATAATTAACAAAGATAGAATTATTTATAATAGGGAAAATAATTATTTATAGGGCACTGACTCCTGTCACACAAGCCTTTAACCTATTATAGGGGTCAGAGACTACATTATATTCAAGTATGTAATCAATTTATGTGACAATAAATCAATATTATTATTATAAAGATAGAATTATGTGTTACACGCAGCAAACTAAATATGATATGGAACACGAACTGCGCTAAAAAGTGGTTCCCTACAAACTGCGATCGAAAGGCGCGACGAAAAAAGTGCGATCCACACGACGATCAGTCTAACGCCGCGCTCAGTGGCAAACGCTCGCGTCATGTCATTCATGAGTGAAACCCAAGAAAAACGCGCGAAAAACTGACAAGAATAAAAAGGTGTTTTCACTTCTTCTAGATGCGTCGTGGATAGAGGAAGATATGCTGAAGAGAAGGCATTTGATCCCAGAAGTGAAGAAACACAGGCACAACATCCGTGTAGTGTTGGAAAACTCGAACGCTACGCCGTTCAGAAGTCAGGCTGGCACGGAGTTCACGTGCAATTATTGCGCAAAGGCGTACAGCCAACCGCACGACTTGAAAAGGCATACTTTATTGCGGCACAGGGATGTCACCAAAGTGTCGGAAGTGAAAGTCGCCACCGGATATAGCATCAAAATGGACGTGACCAATCTCAAATGCCGGCTGTGTAGAGAGAAGTTTGATTTACTCGAAGATCTGATGAGCCACTTGTCACAGAAACACGACTTCTTAATTCACAAAGACGTGACCACGCAAATGGTTCCGTTCAAATTTGACGGCGACAAACTGAAGTGTGCCGTGTGCTCTATGACCTTTAACTTCTTCAAATCGTTAGCGGAGCATATGAGCTTGCATTACAGCAACTTTGAATGCGAATTGTGCGGTGCTGTGTTCATTACCAAGCAAAGGTACAAAGTGCACGAAGCCAGACAGCATTCTAACAAAGGCAGAGTTTACTATTGCAGTTTCTGCCCTAAAAGTTTCGCTAACCAAATGAAAACGCGCGACCACGAAAGAGTGATACACATCAACGAGAATAGGACTAAAAAGTGCGGTTATTGCAAGGAAAAGTTTAGGACTGTTGAGGAGAAATTGAACCACGAGCGCTCCGTACACGGTGGCACTTGTAGATTGTTCAAGTGTTGCGACTGCGGTCAATATTTTGAAACCCATGTGGCTTTAAACGCTCACGCCAAGAAGTTGCATAGTATAGCGAAACCTTTTAAATGCGAGATATGCGGTCTGCTGTTTTACAGACAACCTTCTTTGACGTTGCACATGGCGAAGAAGCATGCCGATGTTGATGTTGATAAATAAAATTACAATAATAGGGTATTTGACAAGTTTTAGAAAACGATCTCACGTTATTGACTAATGTTTGTGGAGTCCATAAAAAGTGGATATTCAACATTCAGTATTTCAGTGAAAATAACCAAATCAAAAACTCCATTTTCAAGTTGCCGCGAAAACGTTTCTCTGGACAATATGGCGTCTTACTAGTGTGTGAGGTCACACGACTGTTTTTAAAACGTCAAACGATACAATGTAATGTCACTTTAACCGGAAGTTTACTTACATGTGACGTCATTTTAGGCTCCGCCAATCCCAAGCGTTTTGGGTCACGTGACAATAGATAAGAAAACTATTATCTTTTTCGTGGGTTTTTAGTAAAATTATAAATATGTTTTTTGTAAAAATGGTAAAATCCCTGCCAATATTCATTCTAAACACAGATGCTAACAATTGGCACTTTATTTTTAATAATGTCAAATACCCTATTGTTTCGTTACTCTTCAAAGTTAAACTACTTGTGGCAGGCAAAAAAGGATTTCATTCCTTATGGCATTTTGAATAACTTCTCGATCGTGCGTAGTAACTTCTTCTAATTAGTCGCTATCTTCATTATTGAATGTCGTGTCTAACTTGAAATGTTGATCACCCGATGCACTATGCTTCTCCACGTATTCCTGTCTTCGGTAATCTTTATAGCCTTGGTTATTGTTAGGCCAGTGAGCGAATTTGCTAGGTTTGACCAGCGGGTAGGTGAGCGCCCGCGTGATCTTCTTCCGTCGGCCAGGGGATCAATTGCCTAACGGGATTGCTATGGCTATTGCTATCGCTTACGATTTCATTTTGTTATTTCTGGCTCCCGAAGGTTTTCAAATACCTTACGCTCATTTTCTTTATTATTGCTATAACCAATGCAAAAGAAAAAAAACGAGTCCGAGGCATTTCAAAACCTTCAGCGGTCAGAAATAAGAAAATGAAATAGTAAGCGATAGCGATAGCCATAGGCAATCTTGTTAGGTGATTGGCCCCCAGGAGCTCTATTTTTGAATCGCTTGCCTTGCGTCGAACACTCAATTTATACTAATTATGATTCGACATAATAAATTTCGTATTTTTGAATCGCTCAACATCAACGAGTCATGTAGTGGCTACGTGAAATTGGTAGAATTGTGGGTATCCCTGTTGAGCCATTAAAAAAGAAAAAAGAAGAGTTTTTTCAATCTTTTTAAAATACACATAAGATGACGATTTGTGGCTACGTTTTGATCTTTTCTAACAAAAAAGGCAAAAGATTAAATAACCGTTTATCGAGAATTATACGTTTATTTTACACAGCAGTAATGACTGCTTTTTTCTTACTCTCTTCGCGTTTTTTCTTTCTTCGTGAAATTATTTAAAACTAGCGGCCCGCCCTCGCTTGCTTCGGTGTAGAGCTGAAGTGTAGACTACAGTTTTTCTTCTCAGGCTTGTATTATACTAAATGACATTCATCTATGATTCTTCTTATACCTGCATGCAAAGTCTCAGCCCGATCGGTTTAAAATTGACAAAGTTACATACAAACTTTCTTTCCCTATTTTATCCCCTTGGGGGTAGAATTGATCAAAATCCTTTCTTGCCTACGTCATAACATCTACCTACATGCCAAACAGCCCGATCCGTCCAGTGGTTTTGAGTTTTATACATATAGATAAATATTTTGCTTTCTCTTTCTTTTGCGTGAAATTAATTAAAATAAATATTTTGTATTTAACTGTTAACACTATAGATGAACGATTCAAAAATACGGAAAATCAGTATCATGCGACTTGGAAGTCGAAAGTGACGTAAGTCGCATTCGACGCTACTATGTCAGGCGAGCGATCCAAAAATAGAGCTCCTAGCCAACTCACCTTCTCTAGGCTGTCAGGGTTTCTGCGAGCGATGTGTCCGAAATTGAGTATTTACTGGTAACAGATAGTGCACAACCTTTTGGTGATGCCGTAATCCAAGTATGGACACGTTGGTCCGGCGTGCAGTCCATGGAATTGTTAACGTCCGCCTCCAACACCACATCTCAAAAGCGCGGTAACTAGCAGGGACATAATGACACATGAAATGTTACTTGAAAGCAAAGGATGCTAGGCCCATACATCCTTTCGTGTAATAAAAAAAAATACGTGTCTTTTTTTTGTGTCACTAAACAGGCCCTGCCAGAATAACATAAAAAACAGCGCTGGTGCGACACAATGTCGCATCAGCTAATGCTGAGGCAGGGTCCTGGTTAGCCTTGAGATTTTGGATTTTTATCTGTAAATGCGTAATATCTGTATTATGAGGGTAAATAAAATATATTCTATTCTATTCTAAATGGGTAATACGAGCATGTAAACAGATTGTCGGATTGGCGGTCTGTTGTTTTACAGATAACCTTCTTTGACGTTGCATATGGCGAAGAAGCATGCCGATGTTGATGTTGATAAATAAAATTACAAAAATAGAGTATTTGACAAGTTTTAGAAAACGATCTCACGTTATTGACTAATGTTTATGGTGTCCGTAAAAAGTGGATATTCACCATTCAGTTGTGTATTTCAGTAAAAATAACCAAATCAAAAACTCAATTTTCAAGTTGCCGCGAAAACGCTTCTCTGGACAATATGGCGTCTTACTAGTGTGTGACGTCACACGACTGTTATTAAAACGTCAAACGATACAATGTAATGTCAACAACTTCTAACTTAACGTACAAAACAGTTACAGCGGTTTATCTGTCTGTTCGTAAAGACCTTTTATCTCGGGAACGCGTAAAGGTATCGACTTGAAATTTGCCCTTGACGTTGTTAGGTCCACCTGCATCAAATTTACCAAATTTTGATTTAATTAAAATTATGACCCATAGAAAAATAGCGAAAACTTCAATGTCAATTTGACAGTGTTGTCTTTGCTAAATCTAGTTTTAATTAATTTGAGATTAGCAAAATTGCTGCAACGTTGCCTAAGTCTAGTTTTGGTTAAACCGAGATTTTGCGATTTGCTGCAAGCGGACCTTGCAGTTGTATTATAAGTATTTTTGTAGTATTAGTATAAACGCAAACGGGAATAGAATTGGCTGAATGTAAACGGAGTATTAAAGGTTTTACGAAATAAAAAAATAAAAATTTCTAAAATAATCAAAATCTCATATTCCTCGCAGACGAATCCGCGGGCGGTAACTTAGTTTAACATGAAGTTAATATAGGATAATTTTATTTTGTTTTTAAATTATTATTTCAAAATATTGAAATATACATAATTTTACTGTGTACTTACATAATAATTATGCTGTACTGATCCCCATTTTATTTTTCCTTAATAGAGTTTTAGTTTACAATGAAATTGTTGATCATTATTTTTTTATTTTAAGCACATGTTGTGTTATTCTTTCGGAATGTAATTCATTAACAGGACTGTTAATTGCGACTAAACAAAAGACGAATGAGTAAATCGCGAATTAGCGAATTAAACATTTCTGTCACTCTCTTGTAACAAACATTAGAGGGAGACAACACGTCATTTTAAGTGTCATTTAATTTATTTGACGTCGTCGTGTATGGCCGTTAGTATTGATGAACTGAACTACAATATTATAAAATACAATGTATATAAGTATACCTAATTAAGAAATAAAAACATGTTCATTGAAAACGTCGATATTTTATTTTAGTATGTATATTTGTTTTTGTACTTGATTTTATTCGATATTAAAGGTAGATAATACTTATTCAATATAAAAGGAATTGAATAAATTACTATTGCAGCAATATATTCAATTAAATGTTGTTTATTTTATACTTTTACAAATTCATGACAATAGTGTTGCCAAAAATTGGTTGACAAAATTATCGATATTACTTTTCTGGACTTTGGATATGTTTAGGAATCATATTTTTTTCCAATAATAAATATTATGTAGGAAGAATACGGTTGAGGACTTGTCCACTGATTTCAGTGGATGTACCCAAGAAAAAAAAATATAAAAAAGAATCCATTGAGTTCTTGATTTTGAATGAGACAATAATAAATTGTGATGAGGTGAGGTTGGTTGGTGTGGCAGTTTATAACTTCTGTACCAGCTATCTTCGCGTTTGGACTTTATCACCACTTAACATCAGGTGGGGTAAGAGTCATTTGCTTACCTGGCTATATATATATCGGCCCGCCCTCGCTTCGCTTCGGTGTAGAGCTGAAGTGTAGACTACAGTTTTTGTTCTCAGGCTTGTATTATACACAATGACATTCATCTATGATTCTTCTTATACCTGCATGCAAAGTCTCAGCCCGATCGGTTTAAAATTGACAAAGTTTCATACAAACTTTCATTCACTATTTTATCCCCTTGGGGGTAGAATTGATCAAAATCCTTTCTTAGCGGATGCCTACGTCATAACATCTATCTGCATGCCAAATTTCAGCCCGACCCGTCCAGTGGTTTGAGCTGTGCGTTGATAGATCACTATGTCAGTCACCTTTGAGTTTTATATACATAGATTTCTTGCCAACAGGTCCTCGTGCTAAATCTATTTACCTCTATAAGGAATCTCCTACGCGAACCTTTACTAGATGATATTTTATTATGCCGACACATCGCTTGGCTATTCGTGTTTGCTATTTGCAAACTTGACATTTGCCTGTCCTTTTCATTCCTTACAGAGCATGATAAAGACAGACTGCTGTTAAGGTTCATCATCTTTTTTTTATGCTTTGTAATTGTGCCTACACAGTTCCGCCAATGTCATATAGGTAGCTTCTACACGTGGGTAGGGTTAAAATCCGTCCGGATTAGTCCTTTTATATTACACGACGCGTGCACTAAGTCGATGAACCTGACAACTTCGCAATCGTCTACTTCGCCGATGACGTCAAACAAGGTTGACAAACGACATAACGTGAATCACGTAGCCAGCGAGGATGAAGAGATTCTTCTTACTACAATCCAACTGAGAATCCGAGCCGCAGGTGGTACTTACATTACCTTCCGAGCATTACTAGATCAGGGCTCACAAATATCTCTAATTTATGAAAACGCAGCACAATTGTTAGGGTTACAGCGACAACGATATCAAGCTTCAGTCAGAGGTATAGGGAACGCAGCAAAACAAAGCAAAGGAGTCGTTAATTTAGAATGCCAATCAATTTACGGCGAATACTTTTTCTCGACGCAAGGACTTTTAGACTATAGTCCTGACTTTGTCCAGATCTTTACATTTTCCGTATTTTTAAAATTACTTTGAATATGAATAATAGAAGTACATATTTTTTTAAACACCATACTATCGTAACTTAGTGAGTAATGGTACCATTTTGTGACTAAAGAATCCTGTTTTTTTTCGAAATGTCAACACTTTTTAAATTTCTAAATGGTAACCCTACATGTGGGGGAACTGTTTAATACACCGAATTGATGGTTTCTATGCAGACTCTAAACAGGTTTGAATAAACACAGAACCACACAAAACAAGCTGTGGTTAAAGGTGTGTTAATGAGGTAATTGAGGAGCACCGAAGACCAAAATTCAGTAAAATAAAATTATAAACATACCTACCTAAGGTATGTTTATAATTTTAGGTTATTAATTGCTAGGAATTTAGATAAGATATTAAATGTACATTTTACAAAAAAATTGTCAAGTTTCAAATCATCATCAGCCTATTAATGTCCCCACTGCTGGGGCCCAGGCCTTCCGTATGTGTGGAATAGGGAGATTGGGCCATGACCCACCACGCGGGTCCAGTGCGGATTGGCGGGTGCTAACGACTGCAGATTATTAAGGTGCCTTCCGAAGCCCGGAGGAACTCGAGATAGAAGATTTTTGGTCACCCATCCAATGAACGGCCACTGCGAAAGTAGCTTAACTTCAACGATCACAGCTGAACGCACTAACCACCTATGCCATCGAGCTTCTCAAAAAGTTTCAAGTTTCAAATAGTAAACACAAATAGCCAAGTGAAGTGCCTGTATTAAACATAGGTACTTAACCCCACGTAGCAAATACAGAGTGGAAATGACGTGAACAGCGCCATTATTAACACTAGGGGCGAGTTGGGAAACTAAAAGCAAGTATCTTGTAAGCATAACACTAATTTGTATCAACAACTTTTGCCTTTTTTCACTAGATGGCAATAGTGTGGACATGAGCACGAGTTGAATCATATTTTCTCATCTCATGTCCTCCTCCGACGACCTCCGTGGCCGAGTGGTTTGTACGCCGGCTTTCAAGGTGTCGCCTATTCGAGAGGATTCCGGGTTCGAATCCCGGTAGGGGCAGATGTTTGTGTAATGATTACGAGCATTTGTACTCCAGTCATGGATGTTTAATATGTATTTCTAGATAAGATAACATAATCATTTATTGTCCAGAACTGTGTACAAATGGTTCTTAAAATTTGGTAGTGCCAACAGTTTGCCCATTTCGGGCGTACAATTACATTAAAATAATATTTAGTAATTAAATGTCAGCTACATAAAATAATAATAAATATACTCTCTAAACTATATTCATACAATCATAAATTAACCAGTTATGTCAAAATTATACATAAATTGCAATTTTATTGTCAATGATCATTAAAATATTCCTCCAAACTATAAAAACATTTCGATAATAACCAGTGCCGAAGCTGTGTCTTGAATCCTTTACTTTCTAAAGATTTAATGGAATTAGGTAAATGATTAAAGACCTTGATTCCAGTTGTTATGGTACTTTTGTTACATATATAACTAGATTACTTATAAATACACATATTATACGCATATTGCAATCGCAAGTTCTTTTTCTTTATTTTGTTTTACAAAAACAGAAATTTCAAGAATATAGATGCATGTCAGAGTCAAGAACTTAAAATCTTTAAATACATTTCTCAGTGATTCAAATTTGTCAAGTTTTAGCATGTTACGCAAGCATTCCTTTTGTAATATAAATGTCGACTGTACATTTACTGAGTTACCCCAAAAAATTATGCCATACATCAAAAGTGGGAAGACATACCCATAATATGCACTCTTTGCTGCTTCCACTGAAGCTACACTTGACAGAGTAGATATAGCATAGCAACTGCTAGAGATTTTCTTATTTATGTCCTCAATATGCGATTTCCAGTTCAAATGAGTATCAATGGTAACACCCAAAAATTCATTGTCTTGCACATTCTCTATTTGCTTATCATCGATAACAATATTTAACTTTAAAGGCATTTTATTATAATTCCTAAACTCCATCAGCTTTGTTTTCCCAATGTTTACTTTTAAAAAAGGAGCTATTCTATATAAATATACTTATATACTCGTATGTGTCAATGTATGTACTTATTATATCCGGTACCCTAGTATCCCATTACACAAGCCTACAGTGCTCACTTTGGGGCTAGGCTAATTGGTGTGAGTGTTGAAAATATTTATTTATTATTGTGTATTCTTGTTTGCTATTTATATACTTGATGGAGCATGATAAGGATATACTGCTGTCAAGTTCACAAATGGCATACAAATATAGCCGTTTGTGGTATGCAAGCATTAGATATACAGGGTGTGACAAAAGTCCGAAATAAAACTTTAGGGTTTGGTTGTGTTCCTTGTATAGAATTACCTACGAAAGTTTGACGCCTTTCAGACCAGTTTTATTTTCTAATTAAATTAATAAAAATATCGTTTTACACCTGCCTATGACAACCCTATAAATGCGTACGATTACTACTACCTAAACAGACCCCCCTCTCTCCCCCAGGCGCCCCTGCGCCCCGCTCAGATACCTACAAATTTTTATTTCGGAATACATACCTACAAATTTTATTTCGGAATTCTGTAACACCCTGTATAGATAACAAAAATATTGTGCACCTGGCGAGCTATCACTGTTATATCCCAATATCTTTAATATATATATATTAATAATTTATCAGATCAAAAGTCTGAGTGTATATATAATAGCATTTAAAACCATTATCTTTTTTCTTTACTTACTTTTGAGAGAGAGGTATGGCATAACGGATTTGCCTCTCGAATTGGAACGCCTATCTGGGAAAGTAACCTACGAGTTGGCGTTTATTCCCAGTCTCCACCGCGGGAATTGCCACCGGAGGCAAATGGGAATAAATAAATCAAAGGTGGGGGCAACCTGGGGTTCTTTAAGAGAGGCATGAAGAAGTACTGCTGGCCGGCAAGGTGAGGGTGGTTGGTGTAGCAGTTTATAATTACTGTACCAGCTATCTTCGCGTCAGGACTTTATTACCACTTAACATGAGGTGGGGTAGAGACATTTGCCCACCTGGCCATATAAAAAAAAGACTTCATTCTCTTTTGCCTTCGGAGGCAATCGGCGTGGGGCGACTGGGAATAAAGGCGAGTTGGAGGTTACTTTCCCATACGGGCACAGAAGATCACAGTAAGATAGCATTACCTTTTGGTGGTGTTGTTTCTGTCGGGAATAAGGTTCCAAGACTACAAGGGGTAGAACATTGAGTCCGGGTAGGCAACAGTGAGAGTTATGTTTTTATTTATTTTTTAAGCATTTAACTGCTAGATAAAAAAATTCACGCGGACCAGGTAGCGGACGGGACTCGAACCCGCATCCTTCACAATCCGGGCGAATGCACTGACCATTATGCTACCACGGCCCTATTCGCCGCGTCGAAATTTTCCTAGCCTTAAGCTGCAAGGCAGCGCCATCTCTTCGCATTGTAGGTAACCCACAGTAAGGGGGTAAGTAAGTGTAAGTGTTCGAGTCCCGTCCGCTGCCTGGTCCGCGTGGATTTTTTCTAGTAAACTTTTCTTTAAACTTAAACATCTAGCAGTTAAATGCTTAAAAAATAAATAAAAACATAACTATAATTGCTATTTTTCTTTCAAATCTTTAATACTTGAAAAAGTATTCATTTGACATTGTGGGTTACCTAAAATGCGAAGAGATGGAGAAAATTTCGACGCGGCGAATAGGGCCGTGGTAGCATAATGGTCAGTGCATTCGCCCGGATTGCGAAGGATGCGGGTTCGAGTCCCGTCCGCTGCCTGGTCCGCGTGGTTTTTTTTCTAGTAAACTTTTCTTTAGACTTAAACAGTGAGAGTGATATTTTTGGTAACGCAAGCGTCTATAGACTATGGGGCCGCTTACCATCAGGCGGGCCATACGCTTGTTTGCCACCACATAAAAGAATATTTACTAACATCCAACTTTGCTTTCTTCTCAGAAACTGAGGAAGATATCCAGAAGCAACAGAACCTGGAGAAACAGTTCGAATTCGCGTCAGAATTAAGGAAAGTGCTTTCCTACACGAACGCGATACCTTTCAAAGTGAAAACGGCCAAATACTTTTGCGCCTACTGCCGTAGGGACAGCTTCGATGACCCCGATGACTTGAGGAACCATTCCAGAACGCACAAAGACGTTTGGCTCAAAAGAGTGGACCATATTATCAGACCCCATTTCCAGAACGAGATCCTGCGTTTTGACATTGAAGCGCTGCATTGCGTTGCATGCGACACGCCTATAAAAACTTGGAACGACATGTTCCAGCACTTAAGGGAGCACGGCGTCGAATTAGACCAAGTTTACACGCGAGTCGTACCTTACAGACTGCGGCAAGATTCCATGCATTGCGCATTGTGCGACGAGAGATTTTTGAATTTCGGCTTCCTCGACAGCCATATGAACTCACACTATTGCAACTACATGTGTTCGGAGTGCGGCGATACTTTTGTGGCTGAAACTCGTTTGAAACATCACCTCGAGATCCACAACAAAGGCAGACATCCTTGTCCGGAGTGCGGGAAAGTGTTCCCATTAGAAAAGTATATGAAGAAGCACTACGCTATGGTCCACAAGAAGAACAAAGCTTTCAAGTGCATGTACTGCGACCAGAGATTTCACGGGGAGTACGAGAGGCATAGTCACGTGCTCGAGGTGCACAGGGAAAGGGTCAGAATTTCTACGTGCGAATTGTGCGGGAAAACTTTCGATTGGAGGCCTTATTACATGGCGCATTTGAGGAAAGTTCACAGTAAAGAGAAGAAGAACAAGTGCCGGTATTGTGGGAAGGCTTTTGTGACCAAACACGAGGTGAAAATGCATGAACAGAGGCACACGGGGAGCGGCAAGCACGTCTGTAAGGAGTGCGGCAAGAATTACGTGACCAACATGGAATTGAGGCTTCATTTGAAGAAGCATGCGAAAGAAAGCGCATTAATGAGGCGTTCGTGACGACACGGTACGGAAGAAGCGTTGTCCTAGTGAAGCACACGGTGTCTTTTAGAACCTAGGTGGAACTATTGGGTATAATGACTCGTTTTTTTGAGTTGACATTATAGCTGGAACCTAATTTATCAAGCTTTCTCTGTCTCATCCTCGTGTATTTAAAGCCGCATTGTTTCATCTATATTAAAATTTTACTATAGTTAATGCCACGTCGTACGTATATATACTAAAGAGAGCTCGATGGCTCAAGTGGTTAGCGGTCGCGATCGTTGAAGTTAAGCAACTTTCACAGTGGTCGGTCATTGGATGGGTGACCAAAAATTTACTAACTCGACTTCCTCCGTGCTTCGGAAGGCACGTTGAGTCGTTGGTCCCGGCTGCATTTGCAGTCGTTAGTTAGTTAGTCGTTAGTAATGGTTATTTTTTTCTATAGGATTGAAAGTCAAATTTTGCTATCGACGCAACAACGCGGCTTCAGTGATAACGGTCGAGACGGACATTTTCAAACTGTATTAGCTCTTTTAAGTAAGTAGATAATTTACTCGCCGTATCGCTGTTGACTGCTGATTTATTCCGGTGTGAATAGGGTTACCGTTAAGGAATTTCAAAAGTCCCGACTAAAATCCTGATATTTCGAAAAAAGTGCGGAGTTTTAGTCACAAAATGGTACCATTACTCACACCTGTTGTTGCCAGGTGTCCCGATTTGCGCGGGACGTCCCGATTTTCAGGGGGCTGGGGACGCGTCCCGATTTTTACCTGATTGGGACGCTAAATGTCCCGATTAATCAAAAAATTAAATTTAGGTAATTAATATAATACTTGCACTAGTAGTTTAAAACGCAATAAATCAAACCCAGACTTAAAAACCCCTTGTTTTTTGTTTACTGTCCCGATCTGCAACCCTAAATATCGATTTTTTTACCTCTTGTACCGATTTAAAACAAATCGGACCTGGCAACACTACTCACACCAGACAATGTCCGGACTATAAGTCTAAAACTCCGGACTAAGCCGGAGGGATGGTAACCCTAGGTGTAAATGGGCCCTTGTACGTCATTTGTAATTCTATGAAATCAAATGAATTTTGTAAATAGTTGTCTAGTATTGATAATACGTGTAAGTTTTGTTTTAAACTCCAGAATATTGTGTTTTAAGGAATCGGGCATATTATTGTATGTATTTGTTTTATTACAATAAATGATCACTACAGTGACGTGTTTTTTTTTCTATCCTCTATCTGTGGCACAAGAAAGTGGCGAAGGTGTCTGTCTCTTACCTCTTCACGCTTAAACTGCTGAACCGATCCTGTGGGACCACTTGTACCATTAGGCAAGTACCATTGATGATACAAATGGCACAGATTTAGCCCACTACTACCATTGATGGTACAAATGGCATTGATGAATCCCACTAGTACCATTGATGGTACAAATGGCACTTATTTATCCCACTACTACCATTGATGGTACAAATGGCACTGATGTATCCCACTAGTACCATTGATGGTACAAATGGTACGATGTATCCCATAATACCCGCCGAACCACTTGTACCATTAGGCGAGTACCATTTATGGTACAAATGGCACTGAATTATCCCACTAGTACCATTGATGGTACAAAAGGCACCGAGTTATCCCATAATACCCGCCTGACCACTTGTATCATTAGGCAAGCACCATTGACGGTACAATTGGCACTGATTTATCTCACTAGTACCATTGATGGTTCAAATGGCACCGATGTATCCCATAATACCCGCGGACCACTTTTATCATTAGGCAAGTACCATTAATGGTACAAATGGCACTGACTTATCACACTTGTACCAATAGGCAAGTACCATTGATGGTACAATTGGCACTAATTTATCCCACTTGTACCATTAGGCAAGTACCATTGATGCTACAAATGGCACTGATTTATCCCTCTTGTACCATTGATGGTGCCATTTGTACCATCAATGGTACTTGCCTAATGGTACAAGTGATCCAGCGGGCTCAATGTTACTTTTATTTTTGCTAGGGCCCGTCAAATCAAAACTTAAAATGCTAGGTGGGCCGATAGATATGTCTGAGAGTATATATATATATATATATATATATATATATATACTTACTAGCTGACCCAGCGAACTTCGTACCGCCATAAAAAAAATTAATTAAAAAAACATTGTCCAGCGGACAAAATTGTGAATCTAAACCATTCTCAGATCCCCTTGAACACACACAAAAAATTTCATCAAAATCGGTCCAGTCGTTTAAGAGAAGTTCAGTGACATACACACTCACAGAAGAATTATATATATGATGATATGATGAACTCGATGTCGCTATGAAATGAATCTAGAGACAATTGCATATAATTTATGTATCTACCTTTTACCATAAAGTCAATTGTTTTGGCTTACGAGCGCCGCAAAGTGTACTCTAACACGCGCTTTCATAATTACTCATTATTCATGCAACCTGAAGCATTTAATTTAAACTCATTATATTACTGAGTTATAAAATTAATGTAAATCAAAGAAGAAGAATATATAAATAAGAATAAATAATCAAATAAAAACAACGTATGGGCTAATTCCTGTCACCACACTCGAGCCCCCAGCTCCAGAAAGCTTGTTAAAACTCATTTCTTGCAAATGCAAAAAAGGATGTCAGAAAGCTTGTGGATGCAGAAAAGCTGGGTTAAAGTGCTCTGTTAAATGCACGAATTGTAGCGGTCTCGCAAGTTCCATCACCAGATAGAGATGATGAAGAAGAAACAGAGACTATAACTGAGTCAACATATGATCAAATCGAGAACGAAGAGGATTGCGATGAAATTGATAATCCCATCGAGGATGATGTAGATGAAATACCGATCTGTGACGTTTCGATTGCTACTACAGACGATGAATTTGCAACACCTAGTCCATCGAGAACAACAAAGCGAATGATAATACGCTAAATTTTAGCACATTGAATTGCATGTAGATTATGCCTATTGGGGATAATAATAATAATAAATAAATAAATATTTCCAACACTCACACCAATTAGCCTAGCCCCAAAGTAAGCACTGTAAGGCTTGTGTTATGGGATACTAGGGTAACGGATAGAATATATATACTGTACATATATAAGTATATTTTTATATAGAAATACATATTAAACATCCATGACTGGAGTACAAATGTTCGTATTCATCACACAAACATCTGCCCCCACCCGGATTCGAACCCGGGACCTCTCGAGTCGGCGACACCATGAAACCCCAAACCACTCGGCCACGGAGGTCGTCGATAATAAAGCCATTAATTTCTTGCCAACTTTGTTACAAGTTTTAACAAATTATAAAATATTTATTAATAAGTGAGTTTGGCAACAACCTCTTTCTGGTGAAGGCCTCCTCCAGAGATTGCCATGCATTTCTGTTTCGTGCTACTGTAACCCAGTCTCGACCTATAGCTATACGTATGTCCGTCGTCGTGTCGTATGTGCGTACGTCTGTCTATCGTGTTTGCGGCCTGCCTCTTTTTCTGAAGCCAGCTGGTCCCGGCCACAATGTGGTTAGTATAGTCCTATTGGGGATACCACATTAAAAAAACGCGCCACTTACTCCACCTCCAGGTGGTGTGGAAATTAGTTTTTTTGGCCATAATGCGCGTTGGACTACACTTTGCGGCGCTCGTACGCCAAAACTATTGAATTTATGAAAAAAAAAGTAGATACATAAATTGTAGGCAATTTTCTTTAGTTTCATTTTGTATATAACTGTTTTTATCGTAAAATGAGTCGGAAAGGAGATATTGTCAAAAAACTGCTTTTAGGCGCCATTTTTCCAACATGGCGCCGCGGCGGCAAAAATACGAGGTGGCAAAGTCGAAATTCGGAAACTCCCGGATAACTTTCCAGGTAACCACTATATTTATCACCAAATGACTGTACTAACAGTTATTTAAAAAAAAAGAAGATCTACAGTGCCAGTCTAAAAATTTGGTGTTTGACTAATAAATGACATATGAGAAGCTGGGGAACAAAAGGGTATAATTACTTACATAAAATTAAAATTTACAGGAGCTGTATAAAACTGAATGACATACTTCCAGTGAGCTTTTGGGATGGTTTGAAATATTGAAATTAAGTTATTTTAACACTGTTTCAGGTGGTTTTGATTGAAAATTATTTGAGATATAAATTCAACAGGCCCGAAACCTCCGGACTGTAAAAAAGGTAGTTTGAGCAGATGCGTAATTATACCGTTTCGTTCGCCAGCTCGTTCGATAGCACATTAGGAAGGAATTACTTTAAGAAAAGGTTCCATTTAAGTACTTAAAAAAGAAAAGGTACAAATAAAATGATAACAGATTTTATTTTTAAACACATTCAAGGACATTGCTTTATTTACAACGTTACGGACTGGTGTCAAGGTTCGAAATTTATTGCAGAACTGTGGACACTTTCTTTGACAAACTAAAGCAAATTTATCTAGAAAGTGGGTCAGCCCCCGTAGCATGACTAACAAAACGCGATATGATAAAGCGATTTATCGACATTAACTGTCAAACTACATTGGAGTTTGACAGTTGAGTGTCGATAAATCGCTTTATCATATCGCGTTTTGTTAATCATGCTAGGGGGACTGGAATCGATTCTTTCGACCAATATTTCTATAACTTTTTAATTATTATTATGTATATAACAATATTTGATAGAAGAAGAACTATCTTCTTCTCGCTCCAGAAATGTAGTGCTTGAGGAAAGTGCTTGGCATACATTTGACACAATTCCGAACAAATTCATCCATCCTCCAGGAACTGTCCATCAAACAACGTCATTCTTCCATCGTACAAGGTCGTATTCTCACTTTCTTTGGCCACATCTCACGCCGAGAAGATGCGTCAGTGGAACGACTGGTGGTGCATGCAAGGGCGGATTCAGCTTTGGCGCCAGAGGGGGAGTCATATAGTCGTGGTCAAGTCACAGTTGGTACAGATGGACCCAGCCCAGGGGGGGGTCAT